TATAGAACTTCTAAAATTTAGAGATTTTTGGTGGAAATGTACTCCCTTTTTTTCTGTCTGAATCTGTTTTACCAAGTAAACTGAAGTTAGAGCCTCTACTTTCAACCAAATATTCTTTGGTCCAAATGTTTTCCCTATAGCTCTGTCTGTTTATACATCTTTTGTTTGGCTGGTGTTTAGTTAAGACCACAGGGAAAATCTTATTTTCATAAACATAAGTAATTGTTCTCCATAGCTTAAAAGACGGCCATTTTTAATCTAACAAACCATCTGTACTGGGTAAAATGGTATAATTCTCCCGCTGCAGATCCTCGCTATACTTGAAGGCAAGGTGGTGGTGGGTCATTCCATCTACAATGACTTTGAGGTGCTGAACATGGACCATCCCAGTCACATGGTCAGAGACACCAGTACGACGCGCCACCTCCAGCACCTGGCTGGGTTCCCTCATGGACGCCGCTCTTCTCTTAAGCTGCTGGCCAACAAGCTGCTGAACCGGAGGATCCAGGTAAGAGCTGTGGACTTAACCAGTTCTCACTTTCTGTGGCTACTTCTGTGAAAATAATTGGTCAGCAAAATTGGTTTTCATCATGCTTGAGAGCTTCTCTGGGTCAGTGTATCCATTAGCATGTTCATAAACTCGCCAAGTGTGCTAACATGCTAACCATTTTGCACCACCTACTAGTGGTGCGTCGATAAATCAACCACTGTTTAATTTGTAGGTTTTACGTAGGTTATTTTTCTCCTGGGAATTTTCGGTTAGGGAAAAGTTTGAGTTACACTATTGGAGAATTGAAAGGTGGCTATACTCTTAAATATATAAGTAAAAGAAATAAATCTCGGAGACGTAGTTCTTGTTGCTAGGCCATAGACGAGCCGGAGATTTATTACACTACCACAGATTCCTCATTACAGTTTCATCAGTTCAATATTCAAAAATATTCCAAAGTCTCAACAAAAAATCTCCCCGTATTCTTAACATCACCCTTTTTTATACATTCTCATCTTCACTGTTGTGAGTTTGGAAAGTTTCAACCAGTGGCGTTGCTACTCTTGATTTGCGTAAAGATTCTAATGTGCCTTATACTAAGTGTGTATTGGACGATCTTTAAAATATTTGAGACCTCATGAACTCAACATCTGCTCCATTTCAGAATTGCTGAATAGACCAATTTATTTCAGATTGTTGATCTTATTTGGTCTTTGCACACAAATAAGATCAACACGCATTTGGTAGATGATGTTTATTGGGAGTAACACAACCTTCCTGCTGTCACACTAACTGCGCTGCCCCCTGTTGGCTGCTCCATCCAGGCTGGGAGAAGGGGCCACTGCTCGGTGGAGGACGCCCTGGCCGCACTGGACCTCTACAAGCTGGTGCAGGGCGCCTGGGAGCAGGAGATGGAGAGGAGGCTGGGTGACGAGCCGACCGTCCACCCCATGGATCACTACATGCAGGACGAGTTCTGGCCGGACGAGGTCCTGACAGACGGCCTGTGACGACCATTCACCACTTCATGTCGAACTGTTGGGATCTCAGATTCAACTTCCTGAGGTGCAATAGAAACTTCAATGGCGGAATTTTTCATCTTTTTTCCCCAAGAAGAAAAGGTTACAGCGAGTAAAGCGTTTTTACTTCCTTGTTGTGACGCTGAAAGTTAAATCATGGTGATTTCTGTCATATTTATTATTAAAAACTTGATTGTATTTTGAATTAATGGTGCAGTTAAAGTTGAGGTTACAGTTCTCTGTTTTCTGCTTTTGCCTCAAAGGTGAGAAGCAACAGAATGTTTCTCCATGCTGAGTGGAATTAAAGATGGATGAAACATTCATTCATTCATTCAGTCATAACAAACTAGTTGAACTACTAGTTTGGTGGAGGTTAACCGATGCTATTGGATGTGATGTAAACAGGTTAAACCAGACTCAGCCTAGAGAGAGCGGCGGGTTCTGCTGCTCTCAGGTGGATTTGCAGCCATTCATAGGCGGAGTTTGAAACGTGATGGTTACCTCTTCATTACCTCTGGTTTTATGCTGTCCTTCAGGATGTGAAAAATAAAGCAGTTTGGTTCAAATCAGTGTGACGTGGCTTTTTATATAAAGTACATTTAGACTTACACCAGTGTATTATGGCCTTTGTAGATAGAAGGGAAAAAGAGTCAATTTCCATCAAAAAACTGAAAAGTTTTTTAGATTAATCTCAGAAACTTTCTACAAAAGTTTCAGACTTTGTTTTCTCTACAATCCATAATCTACTGTTGTAGTGCTGTACATCAATATCACATCTTTCATACAAGCTGCTGAGCAAAGTGCTTTTACTGATTGAAAACAGCCTGTTGTACTCCCTAAAAAAATAAAAGCAGGAAAAATTGAAAAATAAAATGACGATAAGTGGATTATTTAAAAATTAAGAATGAAATTGTTTAACTACAATTATAGATTAATAGGCTTAAGTTTGCTAGTTAGTGTAGCCACTGATTAACAGTGTTTTCTTAAGCAACATACACTGGGATGATTGACAGCTCTAAGACCCTCCCCCTCACTCTGATTGGTTGTTTCTGACAGCTGTGTATTTCTGTAGAGGGCAGAGGACCTCAGACATGGACGGCTCAAAAAAATGTGTTTTTAAAAAAACCCATGAAAGTTAAATACCGCTGCTTTCTCAGGACGAATATAAATATATGAAATATTGAATCTTTCTTCATTTTGAGTCTCGAATATAGGCTGGAACAAAAAGGACAGAATCTAAGAGGAAATGGGAACAGAAAAAGAAATGAGATGGATTCAGAGTAGATTGAACGTCAAATAAAAGCATTTTTTGAACAAAATAACTCGGGTAAAAGTTGGATTAAAAATGTTTTATTTATGGAAATGTCCTCCTCAGGACTTAGGGGAGTTTATTGCAAAGGTGAGGCTCTTTAGGCAGCATCGCCAGATGTTTCACTTTGCACTTTAGGAATAGGCTTTAACACATTTCATTTAACCAAAGGAAGACAGTAAAACAAAACACATTTCCAAAACTACTAGTGTACACATAAAGAACACATAATTTTAAGAACTCCACCTGCCATCCATCTGAAGATTTCCCTTTCTCAGCTCCATAAAACACCTCAGTGTCTTCTGCTGTTGAGAAATATTTGAAGTGTTGTCCAAAATCAGCTGGTGGGAGTCTCACAAAGAGCTGGACCGGGAAATGACATCATTTTATGTCCAAATAGGTCACAAAATTCACCTTTGTAAGGTTGGACAGAGCCAGGATTATTCCCTAATGCTGTTTAAACACTTAGTATCACAAAGAGGTATTAATCCACTGAAAACAATATAGATTCACCTTAAAATAAACACTCAACTCTGCCCACGCCGTGAATTAGTGCGTTACGGATTGTTTTGTAAGTGTGAGCAGATAAAGCCGCTTTGTGACAAGTTGGGAGAGCAGTGGCCCTCTTTTATTCCTTAAATAGCTTTACACTGTTCTCCCTCGAACACACACACACACACACACACACACTTTCCAACAATAAAAATACAGATTTCGGAGCGAAGCCCCCGGGGGGAACAGAGCGCCATTGTTTGTCAGATCCTTCTAATTTCGCCCCCTGAGCCTCTTTATGGAGCCGATTTAGCAGATTACTGGCCGGGTGCCCGCTGGGGCCAGCGGGGTCAGCGAGGGTGAGACCGACAAGAAATGACACCCCAAAAGCAGAATAATCTCAGATATTTTTAGATATGTAATTATATTTTCTTGTACTGGATCCTTACAATCGAGATGTAAAGGTGATTATTGTATGACTGTCTATCGGGAGACAGCTGCCGTACATATAAGAACTATAATGTTACCTCTGGGATTGTTTTGATTCCGTGTTTGCAGAAGTCTAAACTGAAATAGAAAAAAAAAAATTCTATATATATATATATATATATATATATATATATATATATAGTTCCAAACAGATTAATCGATATGAAACAGGGGTCGGCTTAGGTTGAAGATTGTTTTTTTTTCTCCCTCACTCTTTGGAAAAATTAAATCAATATTCAAACATTTTTCTTGAAATATTTTATATAAAATTTAATTAATTTATTTATTTTTTAAATTACATCAACAAAACTGCGCGGAAGAAAACAAACATTGTGAACACACCATCCCCAGAGTGAAACATGGTGGCGGCGGCATCATAATGTGGGGATGGTTTGCTTCAGCAGGGTCAAGGAAACCGGTCAGAGAAGCGAAGAGGCTGGATGGAACTAAATGCACAGAAAATCCTTGAGGAAAACCTGCAAAACACTTGAGACAGTAAGGAGGTTTACATGGCAGCAGGAGATCAGGAGGCTGAATATAAATGCATACTACGTATAATCGCACGTTGTTCAATTACATGCTACAATTAAATGATTTTGGAATGTGATCCTCCAGAACCACAACCAAACATGGAGAAGAAGCATTCGGACTTTATGCTCCACAAATCTGAAACAAACTTCCAGAAAAACGCCAAACTGCCAAAACAGGCTGTTCAGTGCTGCCTTTGATTAATAACAACTGGAACTATGACCAATGTACTTGACTTATATTTGCTCAATTGACAAAATGGAGCGTTTATAATTGCTTGTTTAAAAATGAGCTGCTGTGTAATGTTGCTGAAATGTTTTGTACAGATAAACTTCACCCCTTCTCGTCGTGGGTCATTCAAAATACAAACGTTTCAAGTTGTAACATGAAGTTTGAAAGAACCTTAAACGGTATTAATAAATGTGAATCAGACCAACAGAGGCTCCACTTGTCCGTCACTTGTCACATTTAAATCCTCCTGGTATCTGATCGAATCCCAACGTTTGTTCGAAACATTACATTACCAGAAAACGTGCGCCGGCTTCCCTTTTCTCAACAGGAGCTCCTCCGCCCGCCTTCCCCTCACACCTAGTGCCACTTTCACGCTGATTGAATGGAGACACGAAGAAAAAGAAAAAAAAACTAAAATCTGCTGGCCGTAATCTGGTGTGACGCCACTAATCCCAGCACTACAAAATCCCAGGTCCCTTCCACCTCTGGTCCACACCGACCGCTGCCACTCTCCACCTTCTCCTCCACATCACCATCAGGTAAGCTTCCTCTCCTCAGCATCTTCATCCTCCTGCTGTAGACGTCAGGCAGAAATTAAAACCATTCCCTTCAATCTTTCAGTTCCACAGAAAAGTGTTTTTCATCTTGTTAGAAAGATTTTATTGTTGGTTTTCAGTCATTCCTACATAAAGTCTTCATGCAATATTAAATTATTTATAAAAAATACTTTTAAACTTTCAATAAGTGTAGTACTGAGATGTTAACAAACCAAAAACAACTATATTAATGTCCACTGAGTTCACAATTAACCTAAAAGGGCCTGAAACCTCCTGACAAATCCTCCAGAAATAGGCGAGCACCAAATATAGTTCAGTCAGGTTACCCTGAGAGCCGGAGGATGGAATAAAGGGGATTAATATGGAAGCACAGAGTGTTGATTGTTCTCTCATTTACAGGAATTCACAAAATCCCTGTTTTTCTGCAGAACGCGTAAAGCCGATCGGAAGAGCAGGAAGCATGGCTGTAGTCGTAAGTATTTTCCCACATTTACTCTGTTAAAGCTGCTTCTAAAACTGTGTGTGTGTGTGTGTGTGTGTGTGTATGCGTGTGTGTGTGTAAAATAACTCTTAAGTGTGTGTAAAATAACTCTTAACTTGATTTAGGCATAGTTTGTTAGCCATTGATCAACACATCAGGGTCAGTTTTCTATTTTTAAATATTAATAAAACATTTTAAATTTAAATTTAAAAGATACCCTCATCAAAAACAAGCTTGCAACAGGATATGACATCACGTAAGGCAACTGATTGGAGGCGTTAGTAGTTTTCTCCCTTTTGATTTAATGGAGGTGCTTGCTTTCATTCTGCGCAGCTAAAGCCAAATATTACAGCCATTCGTGCCAAAAAAGTCCCACATTTTTCGGGTTTCACTGGAAGGAACTGTAACTCTCTAATGCGTTTGCATTTATTCATTGTATAAAAGGTAAAAACGTGTCGAATTTGGTCAGATGGAAAATATTAAACTGGAATATTAAATTGTTTTTACTAGCTTAACTTCTGAAGACGACCAATGTCGCGATTTGCTTCAGCTTCGCCAGCTGCGACGGCATTCCTCATCACCTTGGAATCAAAAGCAAAACAAAAAAAAAGAAACTAAAAAACTTCAGCATCCACATTGAGATCAGTCATGATATTTACTAATGAAAGCTCACTGGCTTGATTCTTGTGCCTTTTGTGATGTCACTTCCGCCAAAACAAACACAGGAGTTTCAGTTAGGTTTTTTTCTTCAATAAACCTTTTATTTTTTTCTTCTTTGTTTAATCCCGTAGCTCGAAATCCACACTTTATCAAGATGTGTTTTTACTGTGAGTGCACATTTGTTAGAGAGAGAAAAAAACAAAACAAAACAAAACACTGTATGGCATCTTTAAAATCTTGGTCAAAATTAAAGGAGGGAAGGAGCCGTGACTGAACGACAGCCACTAGCAGCTACGGTAGCCTGAGCTTCTAATCTGGTTTCCTGGTTCACACGTCGTCCTCGGTGTGCATTTACAGGCTTTCCTGGACTCATGTGAGCAAGATTAATAAAAATCACACACACACACTGAGGCCTATTGATTATGGTCCAATAACACTGAAGAACAGGCTTTCCTACCCATGTGGATTAGATGTCTGAAGCTCAGAGCACAACCAGCTCATGTGACAGAATTATATGGACATAGAAAAGCGTTTAGCTTCATCCAGAGCTCTGCACTGGCTAAAGGTTTCATTTTAGGTCTTGAAGAAGTGTGTTCAAGTGTGAATTATTATACAAAAAAGAGAAGTAAATTTCCACCAAAAAAACTCCAAATTTTGAGATTAATCTCAGAAATTTTCAAGAAAAAAAACTTGGAAATTTCAGACTTCAAAAGTCAAACAAGTTTCCAATTTTTTTTAAGGTTTTATTGGCTCTAGTGGCCTTTATTTGACAGGAAAATGGGAAATGAGAGAAGGGGAGGACATGCAGCAAGGGTCGCCAGGTTGGGACTCGGGCCTGCAACAGCCATGTCGAGGGCTAGGGCCTCCATATGTGGGTTGTGCTTAACCCCTGCACCACCACAGCACACCCCAATTTTCTGAGATTTTTGACCGAAACTTACTATCTATGTACAATGGCACTAATACGCCAAGCGACTTGTCTTGTGGGCTCCAATAACTTCCAGACGTATCTGTGTGATGGCGTCTCGTACACACTCCGTATTTTTGATTTAGAGAATATCCAAGATGGCGTCGTGCCAAAAGCGCTCCTGGATGCAACGTGTGCAGAGCTTTATTAATAAGAATAAAATGACTCCATTTCCACATCTCATGTACCTTTAGAAACATGAACACAGTTGGGTGTTCCAACAGAAAAATGATCTCTAACCTAAATCTGTTAAAAATGCATGGACTGCATTTACAGGCTGAGTCCGTATGGAAAACCAGAATCGCTAAATGAGCTCTACCGTTTCTGATAGTAGAAGTGGTGAAACCACTAGCTACTTGCTAAAGAGGATTTAAACCAAACATTCATAGGGGTGTATGGTGATTTTGGTAAGTGTTGTGCAAACATTTTACCAGCATTGTAAGCACAGGCATAAATCCCAGGGGGAAGCCGGGGGGAATTTTGGAAAAGGCTAGAATTGTTCCCCCTAAAGAAATCATGAAAGAATCCCTTGTATTTAAACAATATCAATATAAAAATGCAATAGAAACAAAGAACAAAGCAAATCTGCCTTCCATCTAAGAAAAAAAATAAGAATTATTTTTTAGGTCCCCCCACTATTGTTAGAACAATGGTTCAGTCCAAAGTGTAAGAGGAGCAACAGCTGCACTGTTGAACGGCACAGCCTCCGTTAGCTAGCTGTTAGCTGCGGCTCTGCAGCACTAACAAAAAACCCTCCAGTAAATAAATACTTAAAGCGAAACGTTTTATTTACTTTCACTGCTCAATAGAAAGAAACACATTGACAATACACAGT